AAAAAAAAAAAAAAAAAAAAAAAAAAAAAAAAAGCCAAAGAAAAGAACTGAGAATCAAAGTGATCAAATATGCTAAGGAGGGGGGTTAGGAAGTGAATGCGATTTATAGGAGCTGGGCTGGCAGAGTGGTGAGTGCTTTCTCTGCGATCAGCTCACTGCGCTCTCTATATAGTGAACTTTGACACGACTGCTGCAACTTAGCACACGTTGCCATGGCGACCGCTCGCCTTATAAGGCAACAGACTGTGTTTGACTGGTCAAAAGCTCCCGGACCGCCCCTCGCCCCTCATTGGGCCGCTCTGCCTTGTGCTGGCTGTCATGGCTGCCAAAGCAGGCTGCCGGGTCCTAAAGCGAGATGAGTTCTCAGCCAGCTTCGCACGGCGGTGGGGGTGGATTTCTTTTTAAAATAGGATCACTAGGATGATACTTTTGCGCGTTCCCTTTGCTTTTCTTGCAGAATCTTTCATAAGGCTGTGGAGAAATAAGGCTGGAGACCCACATATACATACATGTCAAAGCGAGACTGAACTAGTTTTTGTAGATCTCAGACTTTATTAACTCTTTGATCAGGCACGAGGAAAAAAAAGTCTGATCATATCATCACCTGCAAGCAAGAGTTACATTACAGTTTCCTGTTCCCCATTGTGCTGCTGATGTCAGAAAATAAATTCCTGGTGGATTTTTTTTAGGGGGAGAGGGAAGTAACAGTTTCTGTACTAAATAAGGTGCAATTCTTATAAATCAAAATTGGAGAAGGAGTACTTTCAGAATTGATATTCTTCAGTGACTACCTTCTCCTTTTTAGGGTTAAAGTTTCACAGGTATGTAGATTTAACTTTTTAATTGCTCAATACGGGAAGAGGATGCTGACAAAAAGGTAACTCAGATGCTGCGGTTACAAGACATTATCATAAACCTATTCAGCATCATTTTTTTAAAAAAGCTCTAAAATGGAGTTAGCTATAAACCATTATTTCAGTATATGCAACCCCATCTAACCATCATTAATATGGTTATTTGCAAAGGTGGAGATACCTGTATTCATACCATACACATCAGTGTGATGTCTGTATGGATGCTACATATATATTAGATATACATCTGTCAATGTAGGTAGACAGAGACACCAGTGAATATGGTACTTGATCACAGAATAGTTGAGTATGGACTTCATTGTTTCTTGACTGCTGTGGCATTTCAAGAACCATTCTTTTCATCAAACTCCCCAACATAAATTGGAAATAATTAGCATACAAATACACATCACACATGTCTGAGTATCTATATATGTGAACACATACCCACACATTTATTCTGAGTTGCATAGTGTTTACAGAAATAGCAACGATTTAATCAAGTACAGCATATATTACATTCATTGAGTGTGTTGGAAAATTTCCGTGCTGTTTTCCAGAATTTCTTTTCTTTTATCAGCCATCTAGGCGGCTTGGTTATAACGTAATACAATTCTAGCTATTCAACTTGTGGTGTTGTTTTTTGTTTTAGGCGAGGCAGAAATTCACAGATAAGATATAGGGATATGGTAGTATTGTGACTCGGTAGCACAACCTCTGTACAATATATGGAGCAACTCTAAATAGGTAACCGATCTAAGTACACAAGGACAATTGTTTATATCCTATTGAACCTGGGTACTAAGCACCATAACCGAGATAGCTTATTTCCTTTTGAATATCTGTAACAAGCACCAGAACAAGACAAACGCATGCGGAGATAGATATAAATTTTAAAATACACAGATACATGGACAGGCGGACAGTTACTTCTATAGAAATACACACGTACATATATTAACCAAGTCTGAGATAGGGACTTCTGAACATGTAATCAAACTAAGTGCAAACATGGGGACACAGATGCATACAAAACTATATTCAGGATTAATTGCTGCAGCTCCCCCCCTCCACACACACTTTTTCATGTTGCCACATGCACACCCCTTCTGCCGCAGAAATAATATATGTCTCGAAAGCCGCAGGTGTTGAGATGATTGGAAAGTTGTAAAAAGCACCTAGACTTGACACTGTCCTGTTTATAAACCTGGATTATAATAAGATTCCACCAACAAAGATGCGCGCCTGGTCAATTTCAAAAGCAGGCAGTAGAATTCCAATTGATCATGATGTAGCAATATAAACCCTTAGCTTAAATAGTGATCGAGAGGGAGATAGATAGAAAGGGGTGGGAGGAAAGGATCTTTTTACGGTTAAAATGTGGAGAGCTGCCGTATTATTTCCAAATAACTCAGACATTAGGGGGTCATACGTTTTGTTTGAGAATATACAACATCGTTGTTGACTGTAGTTTATGGGGCATGTCCTATATTTCTCAAATATTATAAAGTAACCAGGAATAATTCATCATCTGAAAACATTAACATCCTTCTTAACAAATGCACAAAGAACGTTAATTTTCTGAACAGCGTCCACGTTATGAATAGTTTGAATATGCGAGCTACGTATATAATAAGAGCGCTAGTATATTCTGATATTCAAACCATAATGAAGAATGCCCCGGATCAACTATTTGCTCTTCGAGGGATACAACAATATAGCTAACACCAATGGGTGGTTTATTATTTTTTTGAAAACACCCCTGCCATGTAGGCTGGTGCAGAATACAAGAATATAATGCTGAACTGCGGCTAATTTTCCTGAATAATATTTGAAAACATGAGTATACCGCCGATAGATGAAGATTTTAAAATGTTCTTATCGGAGCTGAGTCACAATAGAACAGTGATATTTTAAAAGTAGGATTGTATTATTACTTTTTATTTATCCACTCATTTATTTTTTGACAAAAAGAATACACCCCTTCTGCTATTTTACTGCAGATGTAAATTTATTTTGATGAGCGAGGGGCGGGAAGATTCATTTTACTAAAATAAAGTTTGGGATAGCGTCCGTATAAATCTTTAGAAAAGAGGGGGGATTCCGTTTTTCTGGTAGAAAGTTGCCTAATAGTCCTCTAATTCTTTATAGATTAAATGGCCATAGGAGTACAGCATCGAACAAATACAGGGTTTCACTCTGAACACAGTGGAAAGCAGTTACGTCTAACATAATGCAATGAATTCCTCTTCTCCCTGAATGTAGTATGTGTGTGTTTTTCTCTTCCACCACACTGAAGTTCCATGAATAGGGAAAGTGGCTCCTATTGTGTGCCTCTGAACTTCCAAGTCAATGCAATTTTTAACCACTGGCTTGTGGTACTTTGAAAATCACCAGGGGCTGTCAGAGTTGGGTCCTCTGAAAAATTTACAGTGCTAAATCAGAGCATATGCTGCGAGAGAGGGAAAAAATTTGCTCAAGACTGGAGCAAGTACAGTATCCGTCTGCCCCCTAGTGTAAGTCTCTTATCCGCCTAAAATTCAACTTTAAAAGAAAAGGATCTCTTAAAGAGAAACGACTTTTGGCTCACGTATGCATACGAGAATGAAACTTCTGTGCATTTTAATCTGATTCATTCCGGAGGATTTAAAATTAATTGGCTTGGGCACTCCTAGACCGGACAGTAAGATTTCTGCACCAGGGTTTCTCCAAGCCCAGTGCTGCAT